AATATTACCATGAAAACAGTTTGACTCAGAGACACTGCCCGTCCAAAACGTCCCCAAACATAGTCTGAATACCATTGGCCTAGAGGAATACTTAGCACATGACTAGCATTTAATGAACACTTAATGACTGGTCAATTAAATTATTTAAACTACAGTGGCAAATATTTAATAATTAGATTATTAAACTACACACTGACAAAATGCAATCAGGTTTAGTAATTCTTTATCATTCACACTTTGCATACTTGCAAAATATTTTTGAAACCTATGTGACTATAGAATTTAACACTTTGAACACAAAATTTTGACACCCTAAGCTTAAAGGTACAACACAGTATAGTGGCGAAGAGCTGTGACTCTAGACTCAGATACTTTGAGCTTAAATCCTGACTGCAGCAAACTAGCTATAAGATCTTGTCCAAGGTGCTCAATCCTCCAACACGGACTTTCCCCCATCTGTAAATGAGGATAACATAAGAAAGGTTGTTTTGAGGACTAAGTTAACACTTCAAAGATCTTGAAAAAGAAATTAGCATGTAGTAACTATGCGGTAAGTTATTATCATTGTAAATCAAATATCCACTTAAAGCAATCAGATTGTTGTGTGATTAACAAACATACCTATTTCTTTTAGAAAGTACAAGGTGCGGCCAGGCGAGGTGGCTCAGGCCTTTAATTCCAGCACTTTGGGACGCCGAGGCGGGCAGATCACCTGAGGTCAGGAGTTTGAGACTAGCCTGACCAACATGGAGAAACTCCAACTCCACTAAACGTGCAAAATTAGTCCAGCGTGGTGGCGCATGCCTGTAATCCCAGCTATTTGGGAGGCTGAGGCAGGAGAATCGCTTGCACCTGGGAGCTGTAGGTTACAGGTGAGCCAAGATTGCACCACTGCACTCCAGCGCTTCAACCTGGGCAACAAGAGCAAAAATCCCATCTCAAAAAAAAAAAAAAAAAGCATTGAAAGTACAAGATTCTTTATATAAAGATTAGACTTTGCCCATCTATACTGGTGAACGTCAAACCTGCATGAATAGTTTCTCCTTGCAGCCCACGCTGTCTTAACCTACAACTTTTTACTGCTAAACTAGAAAATAGTCAACTAATCCAAACAAACAAGTGAAAAAACTTCCTAAGTAGTGTAACAAGGTGATTTCCCCCAGAGGTGTTTTTATCTCAAGAGAATTTCCTAAAAAAGTAAAAGTTCTTGAACAGTAAGATTTAGACAACAGAATCCTCAAGATAAAAGTCTAGAATACAGGCAGAGGAGAGAAGAGTGGTATGAAAAAGAAGGCTTGCCTATCCACTAAAAACAGGTAGACTGTTGGCAAGAAGCCAAGGAGAAAGAAATACAAGACTTAGAGTCCAAAAACACAGTTCTAATCACAGTTCAACCACTACCTCACTTGATGATCTCACAAGATAAAAATGCAAACACCTTAATATAACATACATGGTCCCACACAATTTCCTACTTCCAATCATTTATCTCACCATTCTATCCATATCAATTCCTACCACACTGAATTTCTCACTCTCCCTCACTCTCCAAGGCTCATAACAATTTATCATCTTTGCATGTTATTCCCTAGGTCTGGAAAGACCTCCAGTCTATCCTCCTCTCCAACCAGCAAACTCCTACCCACCCTTGAAGAGATAGCTTCTTCCTTCTCAACTCCCACAATCTAGTGTGTTGTAATTTACTGTATTATATGTAGACTGATACAAATGCAAATGTTTGATGAAATGGATGTTTAAATGAATGAATGACCAATCTGAGGCAGTTTCCCATTCTAAATAATTGAGAAAATAATACATCTGAAAAGCAACATCACATATACATTAGGAAGAGAGATCTGCTTTGAAATCTAATTCTATGATCTTCAGCAAATTACTAACCTCTGTGAGTCAGATTCCTTGCCTATAAACAGGTTTCAAAGGGTTGTTATACTGAACAAGTTAAAAAAAAAAAAAATGCATAAACAGTCTAGCACAGTGCCTGGAACAAAACAGCCACGCTAAAAAATTTTGGTTCCCTTCTCTCTCCCCTTCTTCAACTCATTAATTACAGATATCCGATAAGATGATTTGAGATAAAAATAATTTGAACAACATAGCGCACCACACAAATTTCTCACTTAAGGGGGAAAAAATCCTAAAGTTAATCTTTGCATTTATATACCCTTACTTCTCTTTGTGTTTGTAAGAAATACTCTGGAAGAAAAGCCAGAACCTGCTGTTTTCAGAGTGTGTGGTTTATTTGAATATAGTCTGTACAAAATAAAGATTTTTTTTTTTTAAGAAATACTCTGGAGAAATGCTGGTTTTTAAACATTTCCCCAAATTATGTAATTATTTAGGATTCTAGAACTAAAACAATTCGGGATCATTTGTCTTTTTTAGGTCTTTCTAGAATTCTTCTTTTTTAGAACATATTTCTATCTGCAGCAGTGGTTTTAACTGAATTTTTTAAACCTGTTTTAATCAATTTAAGTATTTGCAATTTATTTTAAAAAGGAACACCTCTCATTTGAGTTCTGTTTTGTCAAACAAAAAGTTCTGGCATCAACCTTAACAGGTAAGTATTGCTTTTTTTTTTTTTAAAAAAAAAAAAAAAAAAAAAAACAGGGTCTTACTCTGTCACCCAGACTGGAGTACAGTGGCGCAACTGTGCCTCACAGCAACCTTGAACTCTAGGGCTCACCCAGTCCTCCCACATCAGCTTCTGGGACTACAGATGCACACCACCACACCAAGCTAATTTTTTTATTTTTTACTAGGAACAAAGTCTCACTATGTTGCCCAGGCTGATACTGAACCCATAGGCTCAAGCAATCCTCTCGCCTACACTTCCCAAAGTGCTGAGATTACAACCATGAGCCACCTGGCCAGGCCCTACAAATAAGTGTTGATTATTTTGTTTCTCTGAACTAGAAGCCTTCTACAACAAATAAATTCAAACACCTTTCTTGGCCCACAGATCCCGATGTAACATTTTGTAGAGAACACAACGTGGTACTTATTTTGTATGTCAAGGTTAACTTTGAGATTAAAAAAAAAAAAAAGTTCTAATCACTTACTCTGACTAAAATGAATCCGCTGAGAACAAAAATTCTCGTTAAACAGCTTTGTTAATCAGAGAAATTTATAATTATACATTTTGATTCTAAAAGGTCTGAAATTAAAATACAGACACTGTATTGTTCTAGCTCCATCAACTAAAAATAAATGTAATTTTAGGTGTGACTCAGAATTTGTAAAATTGAACTAAACTTATATGCATGACAATATCTTGTTAATTTATCTGTATTACTAACAACTTGGCTTACGACAATGAAAAGATTTTAAATTTCCTTTCTATATTTAAATGTTTGCTGGATTTAAAACATCAAATGTCATTGACTTTCACTTCCATCTCTGAATTATTTCAAGAAAACTTCGTTTTTCAATTTCCACACTAGCCAAGTGAAAAACTGCAAGCAGCAGGAAAATTTATCTAAAAGAGTTTTAAAAGTAAGTTTTAAAATTTATATTAAATATATTTTTAAAGCATAAAATGACTTAAAATTCTTATCTTCCTCAAAGTATATGGTTTCTAAGAAGCACTCTTAAAAAATGTTTATAAAAGCAACATAGCACACTAGACACTAATAAGTTAATTATCTTAAGCACAGCTTTTTAATCGAATCGATATTTCATAATTTTACAAGTTGTGACTAATCAGTACTACGATGCCCTGTAATGACATACATGAGTTCTGAGCCTAAAGAAAATTTCAGCACACATACACACACACAAAGTCAGCTTTTCTTTTTAAATCATCCCACAATTCAACACCTCTGTATGGCATTCTCTCTAAATTATCATATCCGGTTGGGATTATCCAATTTTATTAGCCAACAGTTCTCACTACTTTGAAAACACAAACAGGATATGTTCTGTTTCATCAAGTCCACAAACATTTCACTGCTACAAGACTGGACGGAAAAAAATCTTTGGAAATAAAAGATAATATGATCCATTAGAGCTAATTACTAAATGCATGCCAACAATACACAATTCGAATTGCAGTCCTGGGCACAATTTATTATCATGAAAGGGCAGGTCAAATGTGTTTTATCAAAACGAAGAAGCAGATATACCGAATCTAAGATCTCACACAAAATTCATCTAAGACTTGGTAATCTTCTGAAAAGAAAATATTTAATCAACGTTGTTCATATAACAGTAATTCATCCCATTCAAATATGACTAGAAATCCCGCTGGTGTGTTTCTTTCAGGTCAAAACATCGAATTCTTTCGCAATCCAGATACCAACAGGATCTGAAACCCTTCGCAGAGGCGTGCAACACACTAGGAGAGCGCAGTCTGTTTACAAATACGAATCTCAGTTACCCACGTCAAAACCGCGCATTACCACCTTTCGACGGGGGGGCGGGGGAGAGGCAAGGCGGGCTTGCAAGAAACAAAATCCACACAGACACCTCTGCCTTCCCCCTACAAGGACGAGCGCCGGGGAAACGTTCAGTATGTATTATATGAGTGTGTACATTTATATACATTGTATAGTCACCTATATCTAAGCAAGGATAAAAGAAAAGGTACACATGACAGAGAATCGTCACTGGACCCAAGAGAAATGTTCAAACCAATCCCGTTAACTCAAAATCCGTCCCCGCTGGTCTACAACAGGTTTTGGTCCGGGACGGGGAGCCCTAGCCACAGTGTGGAGTTCGTCCCCAAAGCGCCCCAATGCCCTCCTCAGGCCGCCCAGGCCGCCGTCCCTACCTCCCTTATCTCAGCCTTCCCCTGGGACACCCGAAGCCCGTTCCAGGAAAGAAAGAAGTGTCAGGCCCCAAGGGGACGGCTGAGACGCTCTCAGGCCGGGCCCCCGACACCTGCGAGGCTCGGCACCTGAGGAGGGCGAAGCGGGGGCCGCCGGCCTTCCCGAGCACACCCCCTCGGCACCGGGCGCAGCGCCGCAGCCGGAACCTCGTACCTGCGAGGCCCGCGAGCTACAGGCGCGCGCGACGCCTCCTCATCTCAGTGGCTCCCGCTCTCCCTCCGCCTCCTGCTGCCGCCGCCGTCGCCGCTGCCGCCGCTGGAGGCCGAGACACGACGAGCTCAGGACTCCACCGCCATGTCCGCCGCGCCGCGAACTGCATTGTGGGGGGGAAGGGATGGGGAGGGGGAAGAGGAGGGAGAGGGAGAGGGAGAGAAAAAGGAGGACCCGCTGAGGGGAGGGGGCGAGAGAGAGGGGCAGCCTGGGGAGAGGGGGAGGAGAGGACGGAGCTTGGAATGGGGTCCAGGCCTGGGAGGGGAGGAGCTACCCGCTGAGGAAAGGGTTCTGGAGTGTCCCCTCCCTTCGTTTCGGGGGCCCCCCCAAGGCACCGTTTACACCGGGGCGGGGGAGGAGAAACAGCACTGGGGGGAGGGGGCGCTTGGTGGCCGCGAAGAAACAATGGGGAGAGGGCCGAGGTGGGAGGACCGCGCACTCACACCGACGCGGAGGGAAGGGAGAGCGCGCGAGACACTCGTTAGCTCGCGAGGAGGGGGCGGGCCCCCCTGGCGGAGAAGGAGGGAGCCACCGGGGGCTCCCGGGCAGGGGCGGGGCCACCGAGCGGAGGTCGCGAGGTCCCACAGCCCGCCCGGGCGTCGCGGGTAGCCGCGCGGATTTGCCTGCTTGCCTTGAAAGGCTGGGGGTGGCCGGCACCCCCGCTCCGCCTCCTTCAGGTTCTGGGGCTCTGCGGAGGCCCCGGGGCTGGAAGCGGAGCCCGAGAGCTGCCTCAGCGCCTCGCTCCCCAGGCTACTCCCCCTGGGGAGGAAGGCCGGCCTGGGATGGGTACCCTCTGACCTGGCACTGGAACTGGGCCCGGCCAGAGCCTCGGCGGAACTTCGGCCTCCCGCGCGGGCTTCGGAGCAGCGGCAGGGAGCGGGACCGAGGAAGCCCCCGGAGTCGACCCCCACCCATCCACCACGGCCTCCAGCCGACCACAGCTGGGTATTTTTTACTTTTAAAAGGCAGCCACTTCGGGAATTAAGGAGCTCAAAAGAGAAATCTCGGGAGCACTCCTCCTCCCACCCCCAAAAGAGATTTTAGAAATCATTTCTTTAGTTGCAGGCGGGCATAAAACCAACTACCACCAATGCGCCCCCTCCTCCCCTTGCTTTTAACATATTACATTCCTTTACATAATTTTTAAAGTCACGGGCAGAGCAGACTTAGGGTTTTGTTAGTTTGGGTTCTTTTTTTTTCTAAAGACCCCAGCGTCAGATTATTCAGCCAACCTCTGACCTCAAAACTGGACACAGCAAACAACCTGTGTTCTGTTCCCAGCCCGTTGAGTTTGACACATGCTAGGAAGGAAAAAGGTTTGACAAGAGTGGACGTAGGGTTGAAGGGAAGATGCTAAATCTTAAGTATTTACAAGATAGTGCCTTATAAATTTTCTTATAATGTGACTCAGGCTGGAAGTGGTTAGAGGTTGCAGAGGGACGCTACGCTTAACGATACTGTTGCTCCCATTTACAGATGAAAAAACTAGGATTCAGCGTTAGTGCATTTTACCCCTATCTGGCTGATGCTACAAGGCCGAAGTATAATGGATAGAGGACTGGATTTCAAATCAAGAGAGCCCTACCTGGTTTTGGCATGTATCAACATGATGCCTTTAAGCAAATGTACCCTCTGAGTTTCCTCATCTGCAAATTGTTAATCTGTATCCCTGCTTCACTTGACTAGCTTAAAAACAAAAAAAAAAATCGCTACTTCAACGGGCTGATGTAAGGAACTCAGCAGGAAACAAAAGTGAAAGCCTAAAGTCTATAGAGACACTAAGAAGATACCAACATGCCCTTCAATTTAGTGATATCAATGGTGTCCTTAGAACAAGTTCAATTGAGTACACATTTCTTGGTTACTTAAGAGCAAAGCGTTGTTAGGTGCCTATGGAAACAAAGACAAACCACAGATTCCTGTTTCCAAAGTGTTCACCATTGAGCAAGGCAGGTGAGCTACAATAAAAGCAACAGGTCGTGTTAACAAAGGGCTGGGCAAATTCAGAGGACAGTGTGATAAATTACACTTTGGTGAGACTTCAGCGGAAGAAGTAGAAGCTGGACCTTGAAGATTCGCCTGCTGAATCACACATGTCTGTGATTCAGAGGACAGCATTGAGTCTGGAGTGTGCAGAAGATAATGAGACTGGAAAAGAAAGCTGAGGCCAGACTCAGAATTTCAGTGCCTCTCTGCCCTTATCCCCTCCAGATAACTATCCTCGACAACCTTTCTTATTCCCCAAGACCCAGCTCAACCTCTATCTTCTTTATTAAATCTCCCTGATTACCACCCTTCCTCTGCACTCCACTGAATGTGATCCCTCCATTCTCTGAATTTTGTGACCCCAATAGATTGTACACTTGAGCACAGATACTTAACAGATATTCTTTACGATACCTACATTCTTGTTGAGTTGGAAATTTTGGCAACTGTAATCTTGTTTATCATCACAGCTAGAGCAAGTATTGTTCTGACACAAAGAATAAGGAAATTTATGGAGTATAAGGTGTAATTCATGTCCAGGGTCATACAGTAAGTCACAGGCAGGACTAGAATACCAGCCCTGTATTCTTTCCATTGAACCACAAACAGGTTTCTGAGATATAAAATGGTAAATGTCTGACTGCTTTTTAAAAATACTCCGAGGACCTACACTTTCAAGGGAAATCTCATGATTGTGGTTAAGCCACCAGTCTGAAAGTTCTGGAAACTTAGTTTCATCCAAACCCAGGTGAAAATAACTTGCAGCGAAAATATTAATTCATTATATCTCATGAGGAATATAATTAGTGGCTCAATATTCATATTCTATTGTCTTCCTAGGTGAATAAGAAAACTTAATAACTAATAATACTGAATGAAAAGGTGACTTGGTAAGTAAAATCATGACAAGAAAGGTGCCTACTCCCAGCACTTTGGGAGGCTGAGGTGGGCAGATCACTGAGGTTGGGAGTTCAAGACCAGCCTGGCCAAAACCATGAAACCCCATCTCTACTAAAAATCCAAAAATTAGCCAGGCATGGTGGCAGGTGCCTATAATCCCAGCTACTCACTCGGGAGGCTGAGGCAGGAGAATCGCTTGAACCAGGGAGGCAGAGGTTGCAGTGAGCTGAGATCGTGCCTTAGCACTCTAGTCTGGGCGACAGAGCAAGACTCCATCTCAAAAAAGGAAAAAAAAAAAAAAAAAAAAGAAAGATGCCTAAATCTGATCAACCCGAGTTCTGCTGTTTGATCATAAAGGGTCCTGTATGCCACCGGGAAAAAAAAAGAGGAGACTTCATATTGTAGTTATTGGGGAATCACTGATCACTTGTAAGCAAGAGAGAAATACAATCAGACCTGCTAAGCTGTTTCTCTGAGCCCCATTTTTTTTCTGTGCACTTGATTCCTTTAAGAAGAGAGACTATAGACTCTGGGTGATAATGATCTCCAGTGAAAAACAGTGCATCACACCCATGATGTGGTCCAAACCAAGTCTCCTTCACCTTTGTATTTTCAGCATGCAGCATAATCCTGACACATCGAAAGCACTCAGAAATTGCTTGTTGACACTTTAAATTGTCTATAAAGCATAAGATATGGTCAGTGTTTAAAATTTTTGTGATTCTTGCAAAGACCATGACAATGCCAAAGCTCTTAAGGTATATGCTCACCTCAAGACGGTGTAAAGAATTTACTTCTCTTCGTCTGTTTTCCTTTTTTTTTTTTTTTTGAGATGGAGTTTCGCTCTTGTTACCCAGGCTGGAGTGCAATGGCGCAATCTTGGCTCACCGCAACCTCCGCCTCCTGGGTTCAGGCAATTCTCCTGCCTCAGCCTCCTGGGCAGCCGGGATTACAGGCATGCACCACCATGCCCAGCTCCTTTTTTGTATTTTTAGTAGAAACGGAGTTTCACCATGTTGACCAGGATGGTCTCGATCTCTTGACCTCGTGATCCACCTGCCTCGGCCTCCCAAAGTGCTGGGATTACAGGCTTGAGCCACCGCGCCCGGCTTGTTTTCCTTCTTAAAAGTAATTAAGATAAAATGTGTAAAAATGCCTATTTCATAGTAAATGTTCCACAAAAATGAATTCCCTTTCTTCTTAAAATTTAGTTTCTTCTGTTGAATACCAGTAAGTGGGGGGGAAAAATTAGTTTCTTCTTATCTGCCCCATTTGGATTTCATGTGCCTTTAGACTCACACTGGCACATATGTGTACTTGCTACCTGTTGACTCCATTTCCTCTGTCCTGAGGATTCTATGTGTGGAATTTTAAACAACAGCCACTCCCTGTAGCTTACTTCATTGAAACATTAGAAACGGTTTTTTTTAAGATGGCATTTTTTTAAGTGAATAATATTTTAGAATTTAAAAGGACATTAGTGTTCATACAGTTAGGGATGTCAAGAACATATACACATGGCAGAAGATGATACTATAAAGTTAGACTAGGACCACATCATTTTTTTAAAAAGCGAGCCTTTATTCTGAAGTTACTAGGCAATCACAGAACATCTGTAAACAAGGAGAGAGATGTTCAGACTTGCCTTCTACTGCAGGTGCTCATCTGACTTCTATTTGAACATTCGTAGCTATGGAGAGCTCATTCCTTACCAAATCTACCTATTCTAAGAATTAGAAGTGCTTCCCCAACTGAGCTGAATTTTTCCTTCCCTGATACATATTTGTTGGTAATCCTAGCCTCAGGAATAACATCAGCCTTCTTTTTCTTTGTACATAAAAACAAGGGAGCCAAGGTGTTTCACGCCTGTAATCCCAGCAATTTGGGAGGCTGAGGCAAGAGGATCGAAGCCAGGAGTTTGAGATCAGCCTGGGCAACATAGTGAGACCCCATTAACAACAACAAAAAAAAGACTGGGTGCAGTGGCTCACAACTGTAATCTAGCATTTTGGGAGGCTGAGGCGGGCGGATCACGAGGTCAGGAATTCGAGACCAGCCTGGCCAGCATGGTGAAACCCTGTCTGTGCTAAAAATACAAAAAATTAGCCAGGCGTGGTAGCAGGCTCCTGTAATCCCAGCTACTCGGGAGGCTAAGGCAGGAGAGTTGCTTGAATCCAGGTGGCAGAGGTTGCAATGAGCCGAGACCACACCATTGCACTCCAGCCTGGGTGACAGAGCAAGACTCCATCTCAAAATAAAATTAAAAATTAAAAATTGGCCAGGCATCATGGCTCACGCCTATAATCATGGCACTTTGGGAGGCTGAAACAAGCAGATCACTTGCAGTCAGGAGTTTGAGACCAGCCTGGCCAACATGGTAAAATTCCATCTCTACTAAAAAATATAAAGGTTAGCCAGGCGTAGCACACAGCTGTAGTCCCAGCTACTCAGGAGGCTGTGGCAAGCTACTCATGCCACTGCCCTCCAGCCTGGAT